CTCCCGCCTTGGCCTCCCAAAGTGCTGGGATTACAGGCGTGGGTCACTGCACCCAGCCAAAAGTATGGTTTTCTTTCCTTTTTAAACTTTGAGAAAATACATTACTCTCTTATGAAACATAACACATACCCAATAGTTCCTCCAGTTAAATAATACTATGTTCATTCTTTCATGTTCATGGATGTAGTGACTTAAGTTTGTAAAAAGATGCTAAATCTTGTAAATTAATTTAAATCAAATTATAATCTCAATCTTTTTTTTTGAGATGGAGCCTTGCTCTGTCTCCCAGACTGGAACAGAGTGGCGTGATCTTGACTTGCTGCAACCGCCAACTCCCTGATTCAAGCAAATCTCCTGCCTTAGCCTCCTGAGTAGCTGGGATTACAGGAGTGTGCCTTCATGCCCGGCTAATTTTTGTATTTTTAGTAGACGGGGTTTCACCATGTTAGGCTGGTCTCAAACTCCTGACCTCATGACCCGCCTGCCTCAGTCTCCAAAAGTGCTGGGATTACAGGTGTGAGCCACTGTACCTGGCTATAATCTCAATCTCAATCAAAATTACAACAGGACAGTTTGGGGAGGGAGTAAACTAGACAAACTAAATCTAAACCTTTTATGAAAGATCTGCAAGTAGTTATATCAATTTTGAAAAAAAGAAAAGAGAGGGAATCCATCCTGCCATAGCTTACGAACTACTAGAAAGGCACAGTAATAAACATGACATGGTGCAAGATCTCATCTAGGGTATGTCTGGAAATGCATGGGCCACCATGGATGTTGCAATGACAGGGCAACACTACTGGCATTGAGTTGACAGGGCCAGCAGTGCTAAACATACCTACTCTACTAACTGTGTCTCCTTTAAGAAACTTTGAGATCAATATACCAATGAGATACAATAGAAAGGTGAGAAATTCATTTACAATAAGGGTGTTACTACAAATCAACTGAAAAGTTCAGCTACTTTAGATGTTATCGGGAAATCAGAAAAAATAAAGCTGGATCCAGCTTATACCACATCCAAAGATTGCTCTATATACATCAAAAACTTAAGGGGAGGTTGGGCATGGTGACTCACACCTGTAATCCCAGCACTTTGGGAAGTCAAGGCAAGCAGATCATAAGGTCAGGAGTTCGAGACCAGCCTGACCAACATGGTGAAACCCCATCTCTACTAAAAATACAAAAATTAGCTGGATGTGGTGGCATGCACCTGTAATCCCAGCTACTCAAGAGACTGAACCGGGATGTGGAGCTTACAGTGAGCTGAGATCATGCCACTGTACTTCAGCCTGGATGACAGAATAAGACTGTCTCAAAAAAAAAAGAAAAGAAAAGAAAACAGAAAAACTTAAGGGAATCATAAAGCTAAAAGAAATTTAGCAAGACAATCTGGGTGGCCTAAGTCCAAGAAGCACTAATGAGGCAAATATAGTAAAGCTAAAAAATGATGGATGTGACTACATCAAAATCAAGCATTTCCATGCAATAAAGAATACCAAGGTAAAGTCAATAGAAGGCACCCCAGGAGATGATATTTGTATGGTCTAAAACCAACTGGAATTTAATAAATATTACACATATTAAACAGTTCTATAAATCAACAAGAAAAATACAGGAAACAAAGGATATGAAGAGGCAAAGGAAAATGGTTAACTAGAATATGAAAAAATGATTAAATTCACTGGTAATTAAAAATAAAAATTAAACAGCCTAGCCAAACCCTGTCTCTACTAAAAATACAAAAAAATCAGCTGAGTGTGGTAGCACACACATGTAATCCCAGCTACTCGGGAGGCTGAGGCAGGAGAATTGCTTGAACCCACGAGATGGAGGTTGCGGTGAGCCGAGATCACACCACTGTACTCCAGCCTAGGCAACAGAGCCAGACTCTGTCAAAAAAAAAAAAAAGAAAGAAAGAAAGAAAGAAAAAAAAAAGGCCAGGCACAGTGGCTCATGCCTATAATCCCAGCCTGTTGGGAGGCCATGGCAGGTGGATCATTTGAGGTCAGCAGTTCGAGACCAGCCTGGCCAACACGGTGAAACCCTGTCTCTACTAAAAATATAATAATTACCCAGGTGTGGTGGCACACACCTGTAATCCTAGCTACTCAGGAGGCTGAGGCAGGAGAATCACTTGATCCTAGGAGGCGGAGGTTGCAGTGAGCCAAGATTGCACCACTGCACTCCAGCCTGGGCAACAGAGCAAGACTCCATCTCAAAAAAAAAAAGAAAGAAAAATTAAAATGAGACATTACTAAAAGTCAAAAATTAGAAATGTAGACAATACCAAGTGTTTGGGAGGTTATAGGAACACAATGCTTGTGGGTGTAAGTTTAAACAACCATTCAGCAGCCTCACAGTACTTATGCCGCAATGCCGCCTGGCTCTGTGTCCCTGAGAATTCTCAAACATGTCCATAATAGACATGTGCAAGACTGTTACTGATACCATTGTTTATGGTAGCCTAGGTGCCCATCACTATGGGAATGGATGCATACCAGGGAATACTATGCTGCAGCTAGAAGCAATTAGCTAAATCTTCATTCACATAAATAGACCTGGGTTTTGGCAGGGGAGGTTTGTGGTTGTTTTTTTAAGACAGAGTCTCACTCTGTCGCTCAGGCTGGAGTGTAGTGGCTCGATCTCAGCTCACTGCAACCTCTGCCTGCAGGAATCAAGCAATTCTGCCTCAGCCTCCGAAGTAGCTGGGACTACAGGTGTGTGCCACCATGCCTGGCTAATTTATTGTATTTTTAGTAGAGACAGGGTTTCACTATGCTAGCCAGGCTGGTCTCAAACTCCTGACCTCAGGTGATCCACGCATCTCAGCCTCCCAAAGTGCTGGGATTACCGGAGTGAGCCACTGTGCCCAGCCCATAAATAGACCTTAAAACATAGCACTCACTGAAAAAAGTAGAAACCAGAGTAAGATCTACAGCCTTTCTACACGGAGAATTCTATAGCCAAATTCTCTAACAGTGTGGTGTAATGAGCAATTTTGTAATTACAAATACATACATCAAAAGAATCAGTAAGTATTTTACAAAAATGCATACAGAATCAAGGATATATCAAACACATTAGAGAGTGTGCCTATGAGATGGGGAGAAAAATAGACATGGGAATGAGGGCTGAACAGAAGGGCTTTGTACACCAATGCTAGACTGTACCCAAATTATGGGAGTATTAAATCCAAATTCAGAATAATATTTTTCATTCATGCAAACATTAATTTATTCCATAAAAACTTATTGAACACCTGGTTAAGTGCCAAGAACTCTACTTAAATAGTAACTTTTCTTATTTCTGCTAAAGGCATATTTTTAAGTTAGGTATGTTTTAACTGGAAGTAGAAGGGAAAATAATTTACAGTAGAATAAAATATATACTAAAAACATGAGAAACTCATACTTAAAATGCTTTATAAAACTTTTCAACAAATAGAAATGTACCTTGAAGTTCTTTAAATGATAAGTTAAATGAAAAATAATCAAAATACAAAAAGAACTCTAAAATCCTACATAAATTAGACAGCCACATCTCAATCCATAGATAAAATGCCTTTTCTCATGGCTTTCAGTGGTAAAACAACTATTTTTAGGAGGATAAATTTTTTCTACTTTATTTGTTCTATGTAACACCCTCCCTTTGCACCCAACAATATTTCAACTGCTCAGGAACACTTCTCACCAGATTTCTGTTTTCTAAAAGATTTTACAAGCAGACTGCTGGCTGCCAATGTAGGTGTTGTTGTAAATATGCTCATTATGCCATGCTGCTAACAAAAACTGCGTTCAGTGCAAAGTGACATGTCTATTCCATATCCCCTGGGCACAGAAAATAACATTAAAAAAAAATTCCCTGTTTACCGCTTTTTAGATGTCTCCTAATGAAAGGCCACAAATTCCAAATGTTAACTAGTATACATGATAATAACACTGGTAAAGGAAAATAATAGCAACCTGTAGGATAATATCTGCCTATAAGGCTCTAAAATTGCAATACTTCAGTATTTCAGATTTAGATTACTGAGTGTCAGTGCACAATCACAGCTCACTGTAACCTTGAATTCCTGGGCTCAAGCAATCCTCCCATGCAGGTGGATCACTTGACATCAGGAGTTCGAGACCAACCTGGCCAACATGTCAAAACCGCGTCTCTATTAAAAATACAAAAATCAGCCAGGTGTGGTGGTGCACGCCTGTAGTCCCACCTACCAAGGAGGCTGAGGCAGGAGAATGGCTTGAACCTGGGAGGCGGAGGCTGCAGTGAACTGAGATTGCCCCACTGCACTCCAGCCTGAGGGACAGAGTGAGTAAGTGAGTGACTGAGTGAGAGAGACTGTCAAAAAAAAAAAAAAAAGAGATTCTCCCACCTTGGCCTACCAATGTGCTCGGATTATAGGTGCAATTGGGCATCACATCTGGCCCAATTTGAGATTTTCAGTATGGAGCAGACAATGAGGCCAATCACAGATAAGACTGATGTCTTCATTAAAGCACACTTACCTTTCACTTGAAATGCATTATTATAAGCTCTTCAAGTTATGTTATACATTTTAAAAACATTTCTTTTAAGAGTATATTCAATCCCATAGTGACGTATTGGCTTTCTCATCTTATAAGACCCCTCTGATCAGTTGACAATATTTTACTTTTTTATATGAAGTGTTTATTAACCTGACCTTTGACCTCTATTAGATATAAGCATAAATCAGTGTCTAGCCACAAGCATCCAAATTGATATAGGTGGTTGCATTAGAACATAAAAAAGGAGAGGAGAGATATAAATGTTAACAACAGTCATCTATAGGGATATTCTTGGCATTCTGGTTTATAAAAAAAATAACATTAATACAGCCCCACATACTCTATGAATGCTTACATAAATGAGATGACCTCTGCTCATAAATGCTGATTTGCTATCAAGGGCTAGATGTCTATTAATAAAGCTATTAGCAATGATGGCTGAATTGAGCAATTCACACATTTTCTTACCTGATTTTCTTTGTGGCTACCTCCAGGTAACAATTTTTGTCAAGAAGAATCTAATTAGCTCTAATAGGGACTTTGACTTTATTGTCCTGATAAGTTAGTATCCATAACTGCAAAAATAAGTACCATAAATTACCTGGCATTCTAGAAAGGTTTGGGCTGAAAGCTGATAAATCAAGGCTGGGCACAGTGGCTGATGCCTGTAATCCCAGCACTTTGGGACGCTGAGGCAGGTGGATCACCTGAGGTCAGGAGTTTGAAAGCAGCCTGGCCAACATGATGAAACCCCATCTCTACTAAAAATACAAAAAATCAGCTGGGCGTGGTGGAGTATACCTGTACTCCTGCCGACTCTGGGGGCTGAGACAGGAGAATCACTTGAACCTGGGAGGTGGAGGGTGTAGTGAGTCGAGATATCGCACCACTGCACTGCAGCCTGGGCTACAGAGTGAGACTCTGTCTCAAAAAAAACTGATAAACCAGTAGTAAACCCCTATCTACTCTTCCTTTCATTGTCAACTACAATTTATATCTACAAAACAAACTGATCCTTAAAGACTTTATTTCAAAGTCAAAGGTCTTGCTATTTTAATGCACCAACATGGCCCATCCAAGTGAGCGCATGACATATCCTACACATCTTTCCCATTTCAGAGACTGAAAGAGAGAGCAGGAGGCAGTAAAGAGCAGGACACCAATGGGACAAAATGCTAAAGCCAAGCTATAAATTATCTTTTGGTCATTCTCTGCTGCATTTTGAAAAAACTGACACAACAGTAGAGCCTATCCTTCCTTTGGATAGATAAGAGCATCATACAAAAGTATCCTCCTAACTCACTACCAACAGTGCTGCCCTCCCATCTTTCACACAGCTTGCCCAGCAAGAGAAGCACTGCTGGGTTCTAAAGACAATGACTGAAAGCTCTGTATTCTGATGATGGGAGGGAGCAGTAAAGACCAGCTTCCTGGGCTCTAAAGTATGCCAGACTGCCGTGCTAATCCTCCCCAAATCCCACACAACGTTTGGGTGGGGGTGGGGAAAAGGATAGAAAACAGTCTAAAACTCAATCAAGAACAGTAGCTCTGGGTTACAGAGTTCATAACATTCCTATTTGAATGAGGGGAGGGGATAACCAAGTAGGGGAAAGACATAGACAAAAGCCTTTAAAACATGTCTTCAAAAACACAAACTGAAAATGAATTTTATCTCTGATCCTACTGATGTGCTAACCAACATCTGCCCCCAATCATTTGCCAGCCCTGGCTGCATAGAATGCACAGAGTAGCAGACATTTTCACAAAGTAAAGCTGGAAGAGATGCTACTAGAGTGTAAATTACTAATTAGCTCAATAAAAGACAAAGAGAGAAAATACCTGTCACAGAATGCTATTTACAACTTGGCATATAATAAAAAACCCTGAAAATTTCAGGAGAATGCCTTACTTTCCAGACTTCTATTAACATGTGAATGGAAAACGGATAGTATTATATAGTCTTTAAACAAACAGCCCATGTCTCTGAAACAATAACACATGACTAGAAAGAATGCTTTCCAATTTGTAATTTTTTCATCCTTACGAAAAGGGGGGTGATTTTAATTAATACAATTCGCTTTTTTTTTTTTTTGAGACGGGGTCTTGTTCTGTTGTCCAGGCTGGAATATGGTGGCTCGATCTCGGCTCGCTGCAACCTCTGCCTCCCAGGTTCAAGCAAATCGTGTTCGTCAGCCACCGAGTAGCTAGGATTACAGGCATGCACCACCACACCCAGCTAATTTTCATATTTTTAGTAGAGACAGCGTTTCCCCATGTTGGCTAGGCTGGTCTCAAACTCCTGGCCTCAAGTGATCCACCTGTCTTGGCCTCCCAAAGTGCTGGGATAACAGGTGTGAGCTACCGTGCCTGGCCTACAATCAGCTTTAACAAGGAGCTATATTTCATAGCTTTGATAATTGCTTAAAGAGGGGAAGAAAAGGAAAAGAAGCCCACAAGTGTCATATTTTACATTTGGCAGAATACAGTTAATATTCCTTTCACTTAAACCAAGAGGACTTCCTTCAGGTCACAAGTTTATCAAATGGCTAGGCCATCATTTTAATGAAGATTAAATGATGGGGAGGGAGTGAGTTAAATTTCCTAATGTGACAACAACTAAGACTCCCCAAATTTAGATTTATTTGGGGGTAAGATAATAAAATATTAAGATACTTCCATTCATCCCTTTACCATATGACAATGGCAAACCTATTTGTATTAATCCCAACCAATGTTCTTTTTTTTTAGACTGAGTCTCGCTCTGTTACCCAGGCTGGAGTGCAGTGGCTTGATCTTGGCTCACGGCAACCTCCATCTTGCAGGTTCAAGCGATTCTCCTGCCTCAGTCTCCTTAGTAATTGGGATTACATGTGCGTGCCTCCACATCCAGCTAATTTTTGTATTTTTAGTGGAGACAGGGTTTTACCATGTTGGCCAGGCGGTCTCAAACTCCTGGACTCAAGGAATCCACCTGCCTCAGCCTCCCAAAGTGCTAGGAGTATAGGCATGAGCCAACCGCGCCCAGCCAATGAATATTCTTAAAGCAATATATTTTGCATGTTGATCTTTTCCAGCTCCTCAAAGCTACCTAAGAGTCTTTAAAATATATATTTCACCTAAATATTTGGTCGTGGTGTTGAAAGGCCCCATGGCTCCTGTTTCTCACACAATAATCACCCATATCTCAATAGCTAGCATGTCCCAAGGACACTTCCATGTGTGAGCACACCACTCCATGCACTAGAGAGGTTCCTAACAGAGGGGTATGCTATGACACAGTTTCTGCTAATGGGAGAGACCTACAAACCCATCGTTCACAAGTTAAAAAATCTCGGAATGTACTGGAGACAAGACTATAAAAACACAAAAGCCACTCTAAATCCAATCTTGAAATTCCTTTGCTTCAAGTGCTTGACTAAGATCAAACACAAACTAAACTTTCTGAAATACTCAAAACATTCTCCCCTTTTCTTCTTTAAAATTAAGGTCTTCATATGCTTTTTCTTCAACTTGATTTGTTTAAAAATACTCAAGAGAAAATGATAAAGCAGATGGGCAAAATGAAAAAAGAAATGGTGAAGCTGAGTAAGGGTATACAGCAGTTTCTTGTATCATCTTTGCAACTTTCCCACGTTTAAAAAATTGTAATAAAATCAATAGTCACCAAAAAATAGAGTATGAACAACAGAAGTTCTCTCATAGGACGGTTTCAAATTTCAAACAATCCACATACTGTTAATGCTGGACACCTAGTAAACACCCAGTAATTGTTACTTCTTTTTTAATACGAGTGGATCAGCTGTGCGCAGTGGCTGACGCCTGTGATCCTAGCACTGTGGGAGGCCAAGGCGGGCAGATAACTTGAGGTCAGAAGTTTGAGACCATGGTGAAACCCTGTCTGTATTAAAAATATAGAAACTTGGCTAGGGCTGGGTGTGGTGTCTCACACCTGTAACACCAGCATTTTGGGAAGCCGAGGCAGGTGGGTTACCTGAGGTCAGAGGTTTAAGACCAGCCTGGCCAGCATGGTGAAACCTCATCTCTACTAAAAATACAAAAATTAGCTGGGTATGGTGGCAGGCACCTGTAATCCCAGCTACTCCAGAGGCTGAGGCAGGAGAATCACTTGAACCTGGGAGGTGGAGGTTGTAGTGAGCTGAGCTCACACCATTGCACTCCAGCCTGGGCTACAGAACAAGACTCTGTCTCAAAAAAAAAAAAAGTGGATCAATTTACTTAACCAATTAAGGTATAGGGGCCAGGCACAGTGGCTCACACCTGTAATACTAGCACTTTGGGAGGTTAAGGCGGGCAGATAGCTTGAGCCCAGGAGCTCAAGACAAGCCTGGGCAACATGCTGAAACCTTTTCTCTACAAAAAAATACAAAAATTAGACAACTGTAATGGCATACATCTGTAGTCCCAGGGAGGTCCATGCTGCAATAAGCTGACATGGCACCACTGCACTTACCTGGGCGACAGAGCAAGTTCTGTCCCAAAAAAAAAAAAAAAGTTAAAAGAAATGTATAGGGGGAATTGAGATATCACTTAGATAGGCACACATAAAGAGAAAATAGTAAAAAGTTAGTGAGGGTATAAACTAATTTTGCTTATGGATATTTACACTGAAATCTGAAATCAGGAAAAACCCATTTTTCTTTGAACAGCAATAATCTTTCAACTGTAAATGTGTCATAGTATGTAACAAGTCCAGGGCATTTTTCTAGCTGAGAAGGTGGATGGGTAACCTGCAATGCAATAAGGCTTTTTTTATGGGTTTGGGGTTGTTTTTAAATACAATTTTGGAATGCCAGAACCTTGACATAATCTTTGCATTATACATAACCGTTATGGTGTTTACCCCAGGTTCCCCGTCTAGAAAGGAATTTTAAAAGTTAGTAACAGGACTACAGGATAATTTAAAGATTGGCGAACAAAACTTGTTAAGCATTGAATCTGAAGAAAAGCATGGTGAGGGATGACTTCACAACTGGCGAGCCAGAGGCAAAACCAGAGTACAGACTCTGCTGGCAAAATGCAAAGCTTGGAATCCCATCCCACCACTTGGTAGAATTCTAGCTTTTGAACTAAAATAAAGATTAAATGTATCACTGGGTTACTATTTAAGAAAACACAGTATTATTTGTAATATAAGATAATTAACTACGAAACAAGTAGTTGTAGAAATGTCTGAGTATAACCTTGGGCAAGTGATTTAATCTCAAGGACCCTCTATTTCATCACCTGTAAAATGAGAATAGTAATAGTACCTACACCTCATAAGACTGCCATTGAGGAGTAAACAAGTTATAATTTGCAGTGCTTACAAATGTGTCTGGCACAAAAGCAGTACATATGTGTTAGCTACTATTATTAAGTTTATGAAGAACTAAGGTCTTATAAATACAATAATACACAGATATTTTTTACTCAAAAATTGAGAATGGGGCAAGAGGAAACAAACACATATATAGCATTAAGCATGTGCTGGTTAGAGAGAAGGCAGACTCTCCTGATAGACAAATTATTAAATGCTGGCAAAGATTATCTACAGAGGTTACCACATTATTGCTGAAGATTTATTTTAAAAAACAGGATAAATATTTATCTACCTGGGATGACTTAAGTGGGATATTGGCTGGAGTTGCAGGATAAACTAGAGGTCCTTTCAAGGTCTCTTCCCATCCAAAGAATCTACGATTAACCAGGAAAACATTTAATTGTGTACAACCTAATAAATCTAAAAATATAAACTTAAAAGCTTTTGCTTAGCAAATAAGATTATAACCAAAATAAAGTTACATTGGGTAGAACTGTACTTGATGAAAATATTAAAATAAAACTTGGCCGGGCGCAGTGGCTCAAGCCTGTAATTCCAGCACTTTGGGAGGCTGAGGCGGGTGGATCACGAGGTCAAGATATCGAGACCATCCTGGTCAACATGGTGAAACCCGGTCTCTACCAAAAATACAAAAAATTAGCTGGGCATGGTGGCACGTGCCTGTAATCCCAGCTACTCAGGAGGCTGAGGCAGGAGAATTGCCTGAACTCAGGAGGTGGAGGTTGCGGTGAGCCGAGATCATGCCGTTGCACTCCAGCCTGGGTCACAAGAGCGAAATTCCGTCTCAAAAAATTAAAAATAAATAAATAAAACTTCAATTTATCATTGGAGTCCTTATTGATAAACAGTATTATATGAATTTTTAAAAATCCATTTTTAGTTTTAGAAAAAGAAACTGAGAAATAACCTTGACAATGAGACTCAGTGGTTTAGCACACTAAGGCCATTGCATACAGAAACAAAAGGCAGGACTCAGACTCTTTCCCTTGGCTGATCTTATAGTTTATATTTTCTTCTTTACCAATATCAAAAAAGTCTATAATCATTTATGTAAAGATATTGAGCATAAAACAATTACAATTACATTATAAACATGGCAATAACATACAGAGTACATCCTACTACTAACACCAGCCCAAACACATCTATAAAGAGAATATGCACACCATCTCAGTGAAACAATTTCCTCATATCAAAGTTACTCTTCATCTTGAAAGTGAACATTATCAAACTAATCTTTTTTAAATGTAGTGGCAAAAATAGTAATTTTTATCAAGATCCTCTGTTAAATTGCTAAATATATCTAGTCACCTTGAAGACTTGCTTAATACAATCCAGGACACAAACCATAAACTAAATACTATGCCACCAACACAGTAGCTGAATGCAGAAAGAGTTTTCTAAATTATTCATACAAATTAATAACCATTGTTGCTCATATCCACAAATCAAAATCTAATCTTTGTTAACTATTACAAATATCAAAAGCCTAATCTTTACTATTTATACACAAACACCAACAAAAGAGTGGCAATCCAAAATTTATACAACTTTAAAAAAAAAAGTATCTTTGTGCATCTGAGTGCACACAATGAAATAACCCCAATCAAGATTCTCAACAACAGTTTGCATTTTTCCCTAAATTATATGCTATCTTTTGGTACCATCAAATGCAAAACAAATATTCATTCATATTCTTAGCTAAATGTAAATGCTTCTGATTAAAATCATTAAAACAAAATTCTAAGTTAAGAATAACCAAAATTTTGCCCCAAATTTCTTATCTTCTTTTTCATTTCTAATGGTGTCTTAAAAATCAAAAGGCTTTAGAAAATTAATATTAATCTGGCCTTCTTTATTCATAACCATAAAACATGAAAGGCAGTGGAGCTGTCCAAAGACTCAGCATGCAATATTATAGAGATGTTTTGCCATCAAAATTATTCATAAATTCATTATTTACCCTAAAACATAAGTCTGCCACTCTAAAATCCTCCGCTACTCTACAATTCTCCCTTTCTTTATTCCATTTTGTGAAATGGGTGAGTTACCAACTACAGCATGAAACATCCCACACAAAGCTAAAGGCAGCTCAGGAACTCAAAGCCCTCAGCTCTGATTTAAATCTCTCCCTCAGCAAACTTCCTTGGTTGCTTATTTGCCTTTCTCTGAAATGATTTCTCGATATTCTCCCACCACTGAAAACAATAAGCAGAAACCTGGTTGATTAATCAAAACAAACAGATTCTCATCTTTCTATTCCAACAACAGCGCTTTCTCCATTGAAAATGAAAATGAAACGCTGTCCATAAAACACAGCCCAGCACTTGTCAGGTACAATACTCCTACAACACCAAAACTATCACATCACACGGGTACACTCTAAACAAACACACCCTTGCCCCCCATTATCACAACACTAGTGAAATGCAGAGGTTTTCAACACCCAGAGTTTATGCTTTATTATCTATACAAAAATCAAATCAAAATGAGTTTCATTTCTTCAAAGTGGACAGGAAAATCAAATCAAAAGCAATGAAAGGTGGAAGCGGATTCAAGATTCCTTGAAGAGAGAAAGAGCTTTCTGGAATTTCCTACTTTTAGGGACAAAAGGATTCACAGTTTTAATATACAGTTCTCTTCTCAACAAAGAATTATTCCTGCACAATCCCCCCCCACCTCTGCCCTTACTTTTTTAGTCTTTACCCCTGTCTCTAGGTCCCCTTTCACTCACCATGGTTCCTCCTCTTCTGCACCAAAGGTTCTCTTACACTTGATCTTTCACTACAACATTTGTGCCCTGACCCTTGCAGACCTTCCGGAGCAACTACCTACAACACTCACATTCAATTCCCACCCCTGTGCAGTCTACCCCCATTCTACATCCATCAGGACTCTCTCAGCTTCCCTTAGCCCCCTTCTCTTCCCTTACTCCCCATCACATCCTTTAAATCCTGGGACCCATCTCTTCCTGCTCCTCTCACCGTCTGCTTTTAGCCGTGTCTCTTCACCTCACTGTTTTCACCTTGGATCTTGCTGAACCTCTTCAGTTAACGTATTTCCCCAGTTATCCTTGTCCCAGACAGCCATCACTTCTTACACCCTAACTCTAGTCTCCTTTCAGCTCTTCTGGTCCTAGAATTGTTCTACAGACACCCATCTCTTATCTGTTTCCTTTCGCCCTTCCACCACTCTTATTCCTGACTTCACCTGGTTCCAGTCCAGGTCTCATTTGCCCTCCCTCACTTTACAGAATTTACACCAATCGCCCACCCACTAACCCATTCCTTTCGCAGAACCTCAGCAGCAGTTCCCACCACACCGCTGGTCCTAGTCCTTCAGCTCATCTCGCTCCGCACTAGTTCACACCCTTGTCACGTCTGGCTCTTAATCACTCTCTTCCCTACTCCCAACTATTACCCCAGCTCTGCCCCTCCTAGTCTTCCACTTCCAACTCCTACCCCGGTATCCCGCACCCCAACACCACCCCCTACAAAGCTTTCCCTTTCAAACCCCCGCTCTTACACCTAACCCCAGGATCCCTTTTCCCAGCCCTAACCTCATTCCTTGCCCGGCTTCCTTAACGCCCACCCGGGCTTTTGCCTCCTTCCTACCTTCTGGGTTGGCTTTTTCTCACTCCTGCTCTCCCAGGCTTCTAACCCTTTCTCCCCTTAATCCTCCTCATCTCATTCTAAACCCGGTTCTCCCCATTGCCCCCAAGCCTTTCTTCCTCTCTCCCTTCAAGGCTTTTCCCCCAACCCAGTCGTCGCCCACCCCGCCAAAATAAAGCGCCGGCGCTCCCCGACTCCCGGCTCTCTCCTCCTGCCGCCCCCGCCCCGGGCGCCCCCAGCCCCCCGGCGCCGCGGTCCCGCCCCCTGCCGCCGCTCCTCCCGCCCGCAAGGCGCGCGCTGCCTTTGTCGCCCCTCACCCGGTGTGTGAGGATTTTGCTTCTTTAAAGGGGAGGGCTAGTAAGCCGGAGACTCCTGTCCCCGCCTCCGAGTCTTAGAATGGGTTCCCTGACCGTCGCGGCCTCCCCGGTCCCCGTCCCCCTACCCCTGGAGCTACCCACTTTGCTGCCTCCCTACCTCCTCCGTCCCCTCCCCCGGCCCCCTCTATTTACCGCCATCATCAGCACGCGCGAGCTGTCACCAGGGCGCGAGACAACCGAACTCGGCCCCGCCCCCTGCCCGCCTATTGGCCCGCCCGCAGGAGCTCCGCCCCTCAGGCCCTGCATTGCGCCAACGGCGCAGCGCTGGGCCGCGACCCCGGCACCGGCACCCTGTCCGAGGGTTCGCGCCGCAGGCGCAAAGTTTAGGGTCAGCCACGAACGCGCGGCGGATTTGAGCCTGGCGTAAGAGGCGGCGGCGTAAGGAGGCGTTGTGAATGGCTGGTCGAAGTTTGGTTGAAGCACAACAGGGTAAATAAGAAGGTTTCCAGACAAAGAGACTCTTAAAGGTACAGACTCTATGTCTGGTCCCTCCTCCTTAAAGGGCCAGAGACGCTCCAGACCCATCTCCGCCCCCTTCTTCCTGGGGAACTGTAAAGGCATTTTACACGGGTTTCCCCGTACTCTTTTGGGTTCACCTTTAAAATACCTCTCCCCACCGCGAAGGACAAAGGCTTTCTCACTATCCTGTCCATATGTTTTGTTCTGTTAAAAGACGTTATTTCTGTGTTGTTCCTAAAGCAGCAGCCCGCAAACTGTGGGGTTTCCGAAGGCAGCGTTTGCAAAAGTTACTGTTGGCTCCCAGGCGGGCGAGCACGTGTCTGGCTTTTGCCACAGATGACCCAAGAGAGATTCAGCTGTTTTATGGAAATCCCCCCCAAGGAAGAGGATCGCTGCTGGAACTGAAGGTCAGCAGACTGTGGGGCTTGGGAAGTAAACCAGACTGAGTTGGTAGTGGTCCTAAGGACTTCTTTCTAGAGGGATGGGGATGGACACCATTGGGAAACAGAACAACAGCCCTTGCGGGATGGTTTCCGGGGGCGGGGCGGGGGCGGTGGAAATGGATGTCACCCAAAATAAGATCAACAGTTTCAACACCCAACACATAGCTAAGAAGACTTACATTTAATTATAAGAACAAGTGAAAGAAATGGACATTAGCTACAGTAGTGGCTCAAGTTTACACACCTGTAAATAGGAGAACTAGGTAAGCACAAAAAACACCACCACACACAATAGGAAGGGGGAAAACTACAATGCCTGGAGCCAAGCGCTGTGAAGGCAATTTATTAATAACTTGCACATTTAAAAGAGGTTTGACAGAAGAAGAGAAAGTGGAGTTGATTTATCATGAGGTTCAAGACCTCCGAGTTAGATTCAGAATTTAGCACTCCCTTTGTCGTCTATGAGTTAACATAATTCTTTTTAAGGAATTCTTACATTATAACTCTAATTATCTGTCTTATTCCCTTACTCAGCAATCCCCAATAAAAATTCTTGGAGAAGAAGGATTGTTACTTATTCAATGTTCCATAACAAGGTGCTTTTGCAGAGTGAAGAATTTGGGAGACAGTTAAAACTTCTAATGGAAGGGATGCTCCCAGAATAGCAATACAGGAGGAAAAGTTTCTCAGTGCTGCATGTATTACATCAGTGGTTCTCAAAAATGTGGCCCGGAAAACCCTAGGGATCTCTGAGACCCTTTGGGCTAGGGGGACGAAGTGGGGGTGCCTGAGATCAAAACTATTTTCATAATAATACTAAGACATTATCTGCATTGTCACTGTGATAACATTTGCACAATGACACAAAAGTAGCAATGAGTAAAATGCTGCCTTAGCACAAATCAAGGCAACTGCACCAAGCTGTACTAGAGGTCAAGGTATTCTTCACTGCCACAGTAAAAAATGCCTGTTTCAGGATGGGTACAGTGGCTCACACCTGTAATCCCAACACTTTGGGAGGCCGAGGTGGGTGGATCACTTGAGGTCAGGAGTTCAAAACCAGCTGGCCAACATGGTGAAACACTGTCTCTGCTAAAAATACAAAAATTAGCTGGGTGCAGTAGCACGCACCTGTAATCCCAGCTAGTCAGAGGCTGAGGCAGGAGAATCACTTGAACCAGGGAGGCGGAGGTTTCAGTGAGCGGAGATGACACCATTGCACTCTAGCCTGGGCAACAGAGCAAGATTCCATCTCAAAAAAAAGACAAAAACACCTGTTTCACTTAAGAGGTTTTTGATGAAGACAAAATTATTTATTTTACTTAAGTATATGTGTTTATGTGACTAAATGTATGTATGTATGCATAAAGCACTTATAAATACATTTGCCTTGAGGAAAAGCACTTTTGCAATTTGAGTTTGGGGCTGTATTAACAGCTTTCTTCATGGAATACCATTTTTATTTGAAAGAACAATTAACAGACTGTGGTTGTTCACTGGATATTTGGCAGACATTTTCTTAAAAGTAAAGTTGAGCCTGGCCAGGTACGGTGGCTCATGCCTATAATCCCAGCACTTTGGAAGCTGAGGCAGGCCAATCACAAGGTCAAGAGATTGAGAGCATCCTGGCCAACATGGTGAAACACTGTCTCTACTAAAAATACAAAAATTAGTTGGGTGTGGTGGTGCGCACCTATACTCCCAGCTACTTGGGAGGCTAAGGCAGGAGAATTGCTTGAACCTGGGAGGCAGAGGTTGCAGTGAGCCAAGATTGCACCACTGCAATCCAGCCTGGCGACAGAGCGAGACACCATCTCAAAAAAAATAAACAAATTTTAAAAATTATGGTAAGCCTGATAGCATTGTCAGTTATGATAAAAATAAAGCTTTTTCTTTTTTTTTTGGGAGACAGAGTCTTACTCTGTCGCCCAGGCTGGAGTGTAGTGGTGTGATCTCAGCTCACTGCAACCTCTGCCTCCTGAGTTCAAGCAATTCTCCTGCCTCAGCCTCGTGAGTAGCTGGGATCACAGGTGCACGCCACCACACCCAGCTAATTTTTTGTATTTTTAGTAGAGATGGGGTGTCACTGTGTTGCCACTGACAACATCCCCACTATCTTCTATAATGCCAGACATTCAAGAGATTTATGAAAATAAAAAACAGTGCTACTCTTCTCACGAAATTTTGTTTGGAAAAATAATTACTTTTCATTAGAAAAAAAAATTTTTTTTTTTTTTTTGAGATGGAGTTTCGTTCTTGTTACCCAGGCTGGAGTGCAATGGCGCAATCTCGGCTCACTGCAACCTCCGCCTCCTGGGTTCAGGCAATTCTCCTCCCTCAGCCTTCTGAGTAGCTGGGATTACAGGCGCGCGCCACCATGCCCAGCTAATTTTTTGTATTTTTAGTAGAGACGGGGTTTCACCATGTTGACCAGGATGGTCTCGATCTCTTGACCTCGTGATCCACCCGCCTCAGTTTCCCAAAGTGCTGGGATTACAGGCGTGAGCCACCGCACCCGGCCCTGAAAATATTTTTTTTTGAGATGGAGTCTTGCTCTGTTGCCAGGCTGGAGTGCAATGGCACGGTCTTGGCTCACTGCAACCTCCGCCTCCCGGATTCAAGTAATTTTTCTGCCTCAGCCTCCCCAGTAGCCAGGATTACAGGCATGGCTAAACCATGCCTGGCTAAATTTTGTATTTTTAGTGGAGACAGGGTTTCACCATGTTGGCCAGGCAGGTCTCAAACTCCTGACCTCATGATCTATCTGCCTCGGTCTCCCAGGGTGCTGGGATTACAGGCATTAGCCACCGTGCCTGGCCCATTAAAATACTTTATCAGCCAGGCACATGGCTCATGCCTGTAATTCCAGCACTTTGGGAAGCCAAAGTGGGAAGATCACTTGAGTTCAGGAAGTTTCAGACCAAGCCTGGACTACATTGCAAGACCTCATCTCTACTAAAAATAAATTAGCCAGATATGGTGGTGTGCACATTTAAGTTCCAGCTGCTCAGGAGGATGAGGTGGGAGGATCATTTGAGCCTGGGAAATGGAGGCTGCAGTGAGCTATGATCATGCTACTGCACTGCAGCCTGGGCAACAGAGCAAGACCCCATCTCAAAAAATAAATAAATAATAAAAATATTTTGGGGGCAACAGAGCAAGACCCCATCTCAAAAAATAAATAAATAATAAAAATATTTTGTGCACAGTGGTTCACACCTGTAATCCCAGCACTTTGGGAGGCCATGGTGGGTGGATCACCTGAGGTCAGGAGTTTGAGACCAGCCTGGTCAACATGATGAATCCCTGTCTCTATTAAAAATACAAAAATTAGCTGGGCATGGTGGTGTGTGCCTGTAATCCCAGCTACTTGGGAGGCTGACACATGAGAATCACTTGAATCCGGGAGCCAGAGGTTGCAGTGAGCCGAGGTTGTACCACTGCACTCCAGCCTGGGCCATAGAGTGAGACTCCATCTCAAAAAAAAAAGTATTTATGTTAACATGTGATGGGTTTATTGTTGCCTTTAACCAAATTAATAAATATTTAGGCCAGGCATGGTGGCTCACACCTATAATCCCAATACTTTGAGAGGTTAAGCCCAGGAGTTTGAGACCAGCCTGGGAAACATAGTGAGACACTATACTAAAAAATAACAAAAAATAAAAAAAAAAAACACAAGAGCAGAGATGGCATCTTCTTGCCTACGAAACACTCATGTATTCACCTGAGCCTCTCAACAACTCTATGAAATATGGATAGCAGGCATCATTATTCCCACTGTACAGATGAGACTCAGAGACAACAGCTTGATTCAAGTTATGTGGCAAGTTAGGGCCAGTGCTATGGCTAGCATGCAGCCACGTGTCTCCTAAAGCAGCATTCTCTTCCCTTGAGCAGGCCACCCCAGAACACCTGTCATCTTCACATTCACAGCCTTGCCTTTCCTATGACGAAAGACTTCTACTCTTGAATTCTGGCTTCAGGACAATCTAGACTATATAAATGTGGTCCCTATATTCTCTTTTTAAAAGGCTCCAAAGAAAATTCAGTCGAATTCATATTAATCTTAAAAATTAGTCTGTGCTATCTGATGAGGCAGGCATATGTTGGGAAATGAAACAGAATGCAAGAGAATTAGGAAACTCTGCCCTAATCATTTCAATAATTTTTCAACTTGCTGATTTCATCACAGAGGCAAGGATCTATTTCTCTGCCTCATCAATCATGTTTTTCTGAAAAATGAAAATATGTATGCATTATGCCAAATTCCATTACAACAGAATACTTTTTAAATCCCATGGAGTGTGTCATAACAGAAGAGTAACTCTGAAGCCACAAAGGTAGCTATCAAGATTTCTTCATACATATTATTCCTGCCTATTTTCTTTCTTTTTTTTTTTTTTTTGAGACGGAGTTTCGCTCGTTACCCAGGCTGGAGTGCAATGGCGCGATCTCGGCTCACTGCAACCTCTGCCTCCTGGGTTCAAGCAATTCTCCTGCCTCAGCTTCCCAAGTAGCTGGGATTACAGGTGCACACCACCATGCCCAGCTAATTTTTATATTTTTAGTAGAGACGGGGTTTCACCATGTTGACCAGGATGGTCTCGATCTCTTGACTTCATAATCCACCTGCCTCAGCCTCCCAAAGTGCTGGATTGCAGGCATGAGCCACCGTGCCTGGCCCTGTTCCTGCCTATTTTCAAAAGAAAAAGGGGAAACACAGGAAGATAGCACAAACTCAGTCCATCTTCCCAGAAACTGAAAGGCCCAGGATTGGCTACAAAATGAAGAAGGAAAATCCTCTGGCTCGACACCCAGATATAAGGTCCAGAAGACAGGGAAAGATCCTGCTCACAAAAGCTGGCTGGACCAGTCTCAAACCTGCTTAACTCTGTCTTCATACTGTTTCCATTTCAGGATTTGTTCTCCCTTTAGAGATTATTTTTGGGATCACAGATTTTTTTTTTTTTTTTTTGAGACAAACAAGAGTCTCACTCTCACTCGGGCTGGAGTACAGTGCCATGAACTCATCTCACTGCAACCTCTACCTCCGAGGTTCAAGCGATTCTCCTGCCACAGCCTCCCAAGTATCTGGGATTACAGGCATGCACCACCACACACCCGGCTAATTTTTAATTTTTGGTAGATGGGGTTTAACTATGTTAGTCAGGCTGCTGTCCAACTCCTGACCTCAGGTGATCTGCCTGCCTCAGTCTCCGAAAGTGCTGGGATTACAGGCGTGAGCGACCATGCCTGGCCAAGGTGTGAGTACTGAATGATGGTCAAGCTGGATGATTTTTAAAGAGTCCTTCTAACCAAAAAAACTGATTTGGGAATGCTCTACACAATCATAGAGACTCACCTTGGAGAGATCCCACCCCCAAGAAGTGAGTGCTCACAAGCCAAAGACACCTAATTATCAGGGGAGGCCCAAACTTGTAATGCAGTTGGTTTCAGCTATTCCACGTGCAATAGTAATTGGGGTCTGTGGCCTAAGACACCCAGGCAGTAACAGAAGTGGGGAGGGAGGGTGTGGCAAGGGAAAGGCAACGTTAGGAGTTAAAGGTCTAGGCTTGGAGATAACAAGGCCATATGTCAGTCCTGCCTGTCAATTTTTGACACCTGGAGCACATGCTTAGGTGGGGAACTTTTTTTTTTTTTTTTTTGGACACGAAGTTTTGTTCTTGTCCCCCAGGCTGCAGTACAGTAGTGTGATCTTGTCACTGCAACCTCCACCTCCCAGGTTCAAGCAATTCTCCTGCCTCAGCTTCCCAAGTAGCTGAGATTACAGGCGCCTGCTACCACACCCAGCTAATTTTTGTATTTGTAGTAGAAACAGGGTTTCACCACGTTGGCCAGGCTGGTCTCGAACTCCTGACCTCAGGTGATCTGCCCACCTCGGCCTCCCAAAGTGCTGGGATTACAGGCTTGAGCCACCGCACCTAGCCAGGTGGCGAACTTCTAACCATGACCCCTACCTTCCAGGATTTGGAGAGAAAAATTTCACTAACTGCCTTACCCTGAAGCCTCAGTACACACTGGGTTGGGGTAGATCTGGTGGAGGGGATGAGTGGTCGGTCCTTAGGTGCTTTCTTCAGTGAAGGAGGGATGCCAGCGCATGGTGGGGGAATTGTGACTACTTGGCCCTTAATATCTGAGGAAAGCCAGCAGGAGGCAGTGTGGGAACAGGGTACAGCGAATCCAGAAGAGACAACAGGAAAGCACAACCAGGGCAGGAAACATCAATGGATGTAGAAAATAGACTAGGCACAAAGTAGATTACAGTGCTTCCCAAGATCCAGCGTTTGCCTTCCCCTTCCACAGGCTCTGAGGTTTGCATGTATCCCCTGTACTATAACTTAATAGATCACTTGAAAAGACTCTTCCAGGCTGGGCAACAGGATGAGACCTCCATCGCTATTGAAAAACAAACAAACTTAAAAAAACAAAAACCCATCCTAAGGAATAAAATGCTAGTTATACTTTTCTTTTAATACAAATTAGAATAAGACAGAAGTACTAGTATTAAAATGTTTCCACATTCCATCTAAAATCATCTGGCACCTCAGGGAGGTCCAGCGCTGTACTTTGGCACATGCTGGTAGCCAGGAGTCCTGTGCCTGAAGTTTGGTCTTGACTCCACCCTCATCTCTCTGCATGACTTCTCTGGGAGCTGCAGCCTCTCCAGTTTACACTGAGAGAGAACTAAATGAGCTCTAAAGTTGCCCTGACAGCTAACAGTCAAGGTTAGCATATTTCTATGTGGCTCTGGCAAAAGTACCCAAGATGACATTAGCAAGGCCCTAGAAGTTTTCCCAGTTTCTGCTCTTTTGGGGAAAAGGGCTAAAGCATCTGGAAACAGAGGAACGGGAGGTAGGATAGTCTAGAGTAGCAAGAAGAACATCAGATGTGAACCAAAAAATATGGCATCTCCATTTACTGGCTAAAATTTATTTATAAAATGGGGATGATCACACCCTTTCCCCCCTTAATTTATATAAGTAACCCTCAACTTTCACTTTCAAAAATTATACACAAACATTTATATCCTAAAGTACTCCTGAAAGCGCCACTCAGAAATGCACCTAAGAACTGGATAACATACAGGTCCTTCCCACGAGTCATCAGTTTAGTTTTGGTAACTTTGCGAGTGGATCCGTATTTGTTAAATTACTTAAGAAATGTATTGCATTACCTGCCTCTTTTAGTGACACATTTCCTTTAATTGACACAAAGAACAGAAGTACCCAAGTAGGAGTTCTTAAAAAGTAGGTGTTGACTAGACTTAAAGCTGGTCGAATGTGTGCTTAAATGTAAAGGAAAAGAACAAAAGTGAAAAATGCTGAAATGTATGAGCCAAGACTGTGTCTAAAAGGCAAAGTGGGCTGGGGTGGCTCGCACCTGTAGTCCCGGGAGCACTTTGGGAGGCTGAGGCAGGTGGATCACCTGAGGTAAGGAGTTCAAGATGAGCCTAGGCAACATGACAAAACCCCATCACTACTACAATGCAAAAACTTAGCTGGGCATGGTGGCGAATGCCTGTGATCCCAGCTACTCAGGAGGCTGGGGCATGAGAATTGCTTCCACCCAGGAGGTGGAGGGTGCAGTGAGCTGAGATCACGCCACTGCACTCCAGCCCAGTCAACAAGAGTAAAACTCCATCTCAAAAATAATAAAATAAAATAAAGGCAAAGTGTAGTTAGGGATTTTGTAGTAGTTTTTTAGCTTTTAGAGAACAGAGCCCCTCCTTATGATGCACAAGTCTAGAGAGTCTGTTTTCCACAGTCAACTTCTGCAGATTTTCAGGAAATGCATTATGTTCAAAATCCTGCCTACATATTGTTTCATTCCATAAAAGCTGCAGCCTAAAGAAAAATACAAATAAACCCAGATCAGAGCAAATGTAAATCAGAAGGCCAAAAACATAAGATCTGTGCATTTTATTTTTATAAACAATATCTAAAACATACCTCGATATAAAAAAAAACGGAGAAACAAAATAACAAAAACGGGAAATGAGAATGAAAAATACAGATGACAGGTACTGTAATTATGAAATTGAATTGAGCTTCTTGTCAGCCAAAACTAGAAGAGAAACATGACTAGTACCTGACTTGTTGCAAAGGCTTTAGATCTGAGCACTTGAATCTGAAAACAGTTTCTCTTTAGATGCCTTCAAATAAGGGACAGTATCCTTGATGACAATATAGGACATACATTAACAATTCTCCTAAGACCATCTCTGCGTATATCAAGGTTAATCTGGATGAATATTTCTGCAGCAGGCATGGGGTAGGTAGGCAATATGGCCAAATGCATAGTTTGGAGGCTCAAATGAAACAGGAGAAAGAGCTCAGGCAACCATGAAGCATGGTGCAGGTATCAGGGTCAAGTGTTCTAACCCTAAGATCTGGGTAGATGAGAACTAGAAAGGCCTCAATACTTAGACTAAGGGTGTGGAATTAACTTCCTAGTGTGACTAATCCAGCTTAGCTCAAAGTGGCTCTGAGATCAGCCCATCTCCCAAGACAACTCATAAACAAGTGCCTTAGTTACAGGGGCTATTAACTACAAAATAACAGCCAAGAGCATTCCTGGGCTTGTCCATTGAGCTCCATGTAGCAGAAGCTATTAACTGGGTCCCGGCAACCATCTTCTCTTTCATCTTTTAGTCACAGAACCCCTGAGTTTTAACTCAGCACATGACTGCCCAGATAAGAGGCTCTATGTCCCAGCATCTCTTTCAGCAAAGTGTGGCCACAGTTATTTGAGCAATGTTCAGTCATATCGTTTTTCTTTTAAACTGCTCTTTTCTCTTTCTCTTTCCCCAGTGGAATGCAGATATGGAGCTGATCAGCCTGCTTTGACATTGTGGGTAAGGAACTATCCTGGGAGTGGCTGAATCAGAGAGAAGGAAACCAAGCTCCTGATAACCTTGTATAGTTAAATCTGCCCTAGACCATCTGATTACCTATTATTTGGTGAGAAAAAAACAAACTTCAGTCTCATAGCAGTTTGGCCTGTGGCTTAACATGTTTCACAACAGAAGAGAAAGATGTCAGGAGAGTTCAGAGGACTCAGGCAACACCTGAGGAAAGTCAATTCGCAAATCACTTCAGCAAACAAGTCAGAAAATGGTAACTATCAAACTAGTTGTGCCTTCCACTCCATCTCCAGGATAGAGGCCCAGCCATATCTTCTGAGTAAAGGAAGAGGCTTTTATAACAGCACAATCCAAACATAAAATGCAGCATGTTTACCATGGGCCTGAGACAAATCCTCAACAGCTGGGGATACAGCCAGTTTCCCCCACGAATACCAGGCAGGGACACCCCTGTCCTACCTTTCCTCTAAAGGAGGCAGGGTCGAAGCTTCTCCATTCTTCATAATTACCATTCTTGAGAACAAGCCAAATCCAGTAAGGCGTGGAGTAAAACAGCTGATGGGGAACTATGTGTGAGGGTCAGGGAATCGGTGTTCAGGATGGACTCCAGAGCCTCAGAACAAAAGCCACAGCTGAGAACCAAAGAGGGAGAGTAGACTCCATGTCTACCCTGGGTTTCTGGAGTCCAGGGACCTGAGAGTCAGCACCTGCTCCTCCATGGAGTACCCCTAGTGACAGAGCTCAGCTGGCAGCTGCTCATCACTAACGAATCCCAGCCACCGGCACCTGCTGCTGCTTGCGGATCTTGTTGAAGAGTTCCATGTACTGGACCATGGTATCAGCTGGGCCGTAGACCACATCATGTCTGTTCCCAAACACTGCAGGAGCCCCTGGTGTGTGGCTGCCTAGAAAACTCTGTAGGAACTCGAGCAGCAGACTCCAGCAGTCACTAGCTACCACACAGGGGCCATACTCCACCTGGGAACCAAAAGCACAGAGAATGAGAGTGAATGAAGGCTAAGGGAGAGTGAATGAAGGCTAAGACGAGGTCTGCTTCTTTTGCACCTCCTGCCTCCTGCCCCCCATCTTCCCCAACCCTGAGCTAAAGACACACACCTCCTAGCACAGTGTTGATCCACAGGAAACATTCGACCCAAACACTGGGACTCAGCACATAGCATCTTTAGGCATCTAACATTCTCATCCTGGGAGCTGTGCCAACCCACAACCCTCCCAAAGGACCCAGAAGCAGATCTGGCCCCCTTTTGATAATCTCACGACTGTGTTGTCCCTACTATGCTGGATAAAGATTCAAGGAGAGCTCAAGAAAATTCTAAGAGACAGAACAAAGAAAGAAGGAAAATGTATGTGGGGGTGGTAAGTAGAGAGTAGACATATATGCTCATGAGCTTTTTTCTGGTTTTTTTTTTTGAGATGGAGTCTCCCTCTGTCCACCCAGGCTGGTATAGAGTGGTGTGATCTCGGCTCACTGCAATCTCCGCCTCCTGGGTTCAAGCGATTCTCCCACCTCAACCTCCTGAGTAGCTGGGATTACAGGCGCACATCACCATGCCCAGCTAGTTTTTGTATTTTTAGTAGAGATAAGGTTTCACCTCAGGTGGGAATCTGAGGCCCACCTCGGCCTCCCAAAGTGCTGGGATTACAGGCGTGAGCCACTGCCCCAGCCAGCTCATGAGGTTTTTCTTTTTTTTTTTTTGGAGGTTTCAGTGGGACGGGAGAATCACAAGGAATCAGGTGTTCAGAGGAATGTATTGAGTAGAGGTGAGGAACTAGGATGTTGAAAAGTAAAAAGAGAGAAGGAGAGGAAGAAAGAGGAAGAAAAAGAGGGAGAGAGAACAGGAATATTGCTTCATTCTAAAAATGGGTATTAATAATGGCCGATCAATATTTTGTGTATTTAAAATGGAGAACTCTATATTTATTGAGTTTACTGTTCCGGATCTGAGTTGAAGTCCTGGATATCCTTATTAATTTTCTGTCTCATTGAGTCTAAATCTTGTTATGGGTCTTATGTATCTGGGTATTAAGATTTCTTATTGTTGCATTGATCCTTTTACCACTGTATCTTTGTTGCTTTGAAATCTATTTTATCAAATGTGAGAACTGCAACTCCTGCTTTTTGTTTATTTATTTATTTTTGCTCTCCATTTGGTTGGTAAATTTTTCTCCAACCCTTGTTTTGAGTCTTTATGTATCTTTGGATATACCGTTAGGTTTTGGCTGTATCTTTTGATTGGGGGATTTAGTCGATTTAAATTTAGGGTTACTGCCATTTGATGTTAACTGGCTATTTTATCCATTCGTTGATGTAAATTCTTCTTTATGTTGATGCTCTTTACTTTTTGGTATATTTTTAGAAAGGCTCATACTGGTTGTTCCTTTCTATGTATAATGCTTCTTTCAGAAGTTCTTGTAAAGCAGGCCTGGTGGTAATAAAATCTCTGAGTACTTGCTTGTTCATAAAAGATTTTATTTTTCCTTCAATTGTGAAGCTTAGTTTGGCAGGATATGAGATTCTAGGCTGAAAGTTCTGTTCTTTAAGTATGTTGAATACTGGCCCCCACTCTGTTCTGGCCTGTAGGGTTTCCGCTGAGAGATCTGCTGTAAGCCTAATAGGCTTACCTTTATGGGTAACATGGCCTTTCTCTCTGGCTGCCCTTAGTATTTTCTCCTTCGTTTCAATCCTGGTGAATCTAACGATTATGTGCCTTGGGGTTGCTCTTCTTGAGGAATATCTTTGTGGTGTTCTCTTTATTACCTGGGGTTGAATAGTGTCCTGCTTTGCTAGATTGGGAAAATTTTCCTGGATAATATCCTGAAAAGTATTTTCCAGATTGGATTCATTCTCTCCATCACATTCAGGTACACCAATCAAACGTAGATTGGGTCTTTTCACATAGTCCCATATTTCTTGGAGACTTTGCTCATTCCTTTTCATCCTTTTTTCTCTATTCTTGTCTTGTCATTTTATTTCATTAAGTTGGTCTTCAACCTCTGATATCCTTTCTTCTGCTTGATCCATTCTGCTATTTAAACTTGTGCATATTTCACTAAGTTCTCGTGTTGTATTTTTCAACTCCTTTAGTTCATTTATATTCCTCTCTATTATTGTCTATTCTTTTCAGCATTTCGTCAAACCTTTTTTCAAAGTTCTTAGTTTCTTTACATTGGGTTAGAACAAGTTCTTTTAATTCCCAGAAGTTTCTTATCATCCACCTTCTGAAGCCTACTTCAAATAATGGAACACAGTCCTTTTCCATCACGGCTTGTTCCGTTGCTGATGAGGAACTGCAATCCCCTGTAAAGGGAGAGGGGTTCTGATTTTGGGTATGCTCGGCCTTCTTAGGCTGGTTTTTTTCCTTTATTATAAATTTATCCATCTGTCGTCTTGACAATTACCGCCTTTCTAATTAGGTTTCTGAGTTGACGTCCAATTTATTGATTCCCAGTGCTGGGATTCAAGCAACCCACTGTGCCGGCCAAAATAGCAACAATAAGACTGATGGTGCTCTTCTGCCCGGGAATCTCTGGTCTGGCTTCCTTCTTGAGTCTGCAACAAGCGGCTCTGCCTTCCTGGAGCTCCAAACACTGGTCAGTAAGGGAACCAGTACCGTTTACTCTGCATAAAGAGCCGCCGCGCCAAGGCGCCGGCAAAACCGCTGCGCCAGCCACAAGAGTCGTGCTGGCAACCTGTAGGGCTCCTCCACAAGAAATCTGCTGGTCCGTGAGCGACGAAAATTCATCTGAAAGTGTGGCGTCCTCTCGTTCTCTGAGCTTTCACTGGGAACTACAATCCTGAGCTCTTAGTGATCAGCCATCTTGGATCGAGGTTTGTCAAGACCGAATTTTACTCCCAAGGTAGAACGAACCTGGGCTCTGACCCTAAGAAAGAATTTCCCAAATAGTGTGGCATGGGCCAAAAAATATATATCTTAGGCCTTCTCCTTCTGCTCTCTGAATTTTTTATTGGAGAGATGGCAGGACAAAATTCCTGGCAACCCTAGGGAGAAATAAGTAAAACAGGTGGAATGTGTTTCTACTATAAGGTTGGCAATATGGAGGAAAAACAGTGGGTCCTCAGTGGGTCTCAGCGAATCAAAGTCTATTACAAGCCGAAAAGGTTAGGAAATCTTGGTCCTAGAGGTTGCTGAGTAGAAACTACCACTAATGCCCTTTTCTCCAGCTGAGATTCTTCCTAGACTTATCTATCCCCATGTCTCTACATTTTAAATCCCTACATAAATGTTGATCCTCCAGGAAGCATCACAACCAAAGTCAGCAGTGTTCTCACTGGCCTGAATTCCCAGAGCAAACTGCCTCTTTTATGGCATTTTCAGACTAACTTCAAAAATAGTTTGTGTGGGCTAGGCACGGTAGCTCACACCTGTAATCCTAGCACTTTGGGAGGCCGAGGCAGGTGGACTGCCTGAGCTCAGGAGTTCAAGACCAGCCTGGGCAATATGGAGGATAAACAGTGGGTCCTCAGTGGGTCTCAGCGAATCAAAGGGCAACATGGCAAAACCTCGTCTCTACGAAAATACAAAAAATTAGCCAGGCATGGCAGCATGCGCCTGTAATCCCAGCTACTCAGATGGCTGAGGCAGGAGAATTGCTAGATCCCGGGAGGTGGAGGTTACAGTGAGCCAAGATTGTGCCACTGCACTCCAGCTTGGATGACAGAATGAGACTACATCTCTTTTTAAAAAAAAAAAAAAAAAAAGTTTGTGTGTTTCAGCCTCATTCTTAATAAATAAATCACAAATTTTCAAAGGGTAGGCCCGGCAAGCTTACTTGTTTTCTTATCTGAGTGCTGGGCACATTAAAGCTTGTGAACTTTCCCTGGTCCCTAAGAAGCCACACTGCCACACTGCCACTCTCACTCCTCATCACTATGTATGTATATGTATTACACACATACTCATAAATGATCTCACACACAAACACCTCTTTCTGCCATGAAAGAAAGACAGCATGTCAAAAGGAAAAGCACATTTTTGCTTCCCAACTTTCGAGACCTAGCTTAAAGTATACTAAGGAGAGGTAATATGGGCATATGTGATTTAG